TCCCACCTCTGGTAATGTGTTTTCAGAGTTTAGAACTATACTGAATTATTATAATCAAGGTTCCAGAGTTTAGAATTATACTGAATTATTATAATCATGAATTATTGTGGTTTAACTGATTTGCTTACTATGCAAGATGTATTTTACTCGCACAGAGGTCAGACTTATAAGACTTATTTCCCAGAGTTAGAAGATAACTCTAATATGTTTTTTTTTCCAGACTTATAAGACAAATCTGGTTATGTGATTCCAGACTTCTAAGTCTGATTAATACAGACTTCTTTCACCTATGGCAATTTGACTCTAGAGTTTAAATTTAAGTCTGATTGCTTCAGAGTTGACCCACATCTCTGCAATTCTCTATTGATTAATTGTTAAGACTTATTTCTCAGAGATAGAAGAAAACTCTGATATATTTTCCCCAGACTTATAAGACAACGCTGGTCATGTCAACTCTGATTAGTACAGACTTCTCCCACCTCTGGTAATGTGATTCCAAAGTTCAAATTTAAGTCTGCTTGCTATATAATTGACCCACAACTCTGGTGTTGTGCTTCCACAGTTTTGATTTAAGTCTGATTGGTACAGACTTCTCCCACATTTCTGGTAATGTGGTTCCAGAGTTTAGAATCATACTAAATTATTATAATTTTAATTATTGTGTTGAAACTGATTTCAACACTACGCGGGATGTATTTTACTGGCATAGAGGTTAGACTTATAAGTCTGATTGGTGCAAACTTCTTCCACTTCTGGTAGTTTGATTCCAGAGTTCAAATTTAAGTTCGATTGCTACAGACGTGATCCACTTATTTGCACATCTTTGTTGATTAATTGGTAAGTTATTTTCCACAGTTAGAAGATAACTCTGATTTGTTGTTTCCCAGACTTGTAAGACCTCTGGTCATGTGATTCGAGAGTTTCAGATTTACGTCTAATTGCTACAGACTTTTTCCACATATCCCGGTAATGTGGTTCCAGAGTTTAGAACTATACTGAATTATTATAATTATCATGGTTTAACTAATTTTCTTATTACGCGGGATGTATTTTACTCGCACAGAGGTCAGACTTTAGCTCAGCCGAACTCTGGAGTCTGAACTCTTTATTAAAATTTTGAAAGTTCCTATCTTAAAGAGAGTTGAAGCAATTCTTTAAAAATTACTTTTTGGGCTTACACTTATGCAGATGAAGGAATATGAAAAATACAATACACAAGGTAAGAATAAAGCATATTGGTAATGAAGGTAGTACTCTGTTATTAAAAAACCAAGAATGCAGACCAATCTGCTTACATTGCTACAATGAATTAATGATTGAATTCCTGTTACTAAAAATTGAACTATTTACATAATGAATGAATCCTAAGCTAAAGAATGAAAATGGAACTTATAATTCGCAAAACTAAATCTTTCAAGCCTTTATGCTTTGGAGGTTTACATCCAATGTTCTTCATATGTTTCAAGCTTCCACTTCTCTTCAAATTGTGAAGTTCCTGTCTTTAAGAAAAGGAATGAACTTGTCAATAATTATTCTTCTATACTCAAGATGGTAGTCAATCTGTGTCCTCATCCAATTTATTAGGTCTTTTAATCTTGGCCATTCTTCTTTTGAAATTATTTTAGGCTTCCTGCACAATATCTTCTCTAATGAATTGTTAATCTGAATCAAGGTACCAGAGCTGTACTTGGGGTATATCATATACTCTGAATAAGAACTTCTCTTTCAGATTCTTGCAAATGTGTCCTGCAGGATCACACACTACAGTCCCCGTGTGAAAACTTGCTAATTCCCCTAGGCTTATATCTAGATGCACCAAGTATACCCTCTCTCTCTCTCTCTCTCTCTCTCTCTCTCTTTTCAAAGTTAAGGCCAATTGAAAGTCAGACATGACTCCCATTAAAGTAGCTCTAAGTATGCCATGAACAACAACAGTCAAACCAATTCTGAAGTTCGCAGCCTTGTCTTCAAATGGAGCTAGCTTGTAATACAGTTGAAACAGATCTTTGGAGTTGATGAATATAAAATCAGCCTCAGAGAACTCATAAAATAAGTCTTCTCTCTCGACAGTGAAGACTTGGTATACTATATTGCGCCAAGTTCTCTGTTTGATGTCCACCAGCTTTGTAATATTCAACTTTGAGTACACATCTCTGCTGAACTTCCCTATTCTGTGCATGAACTGTTCATATTGTCTCTTGAATGCATTTGACTTTCTTGTAAAGGTATCCACATAGGTTTTTACT